AGCCCAGGAGGGGAGAACAGCCTTATCACCAGATGCAGAGATGGCACCAAGAAGAATCCTTATAAATAAACCTTGCTAAATAACCTATTATCTACCATTAGGGTCCCCCACATATATATTTCCCACAATTATCACCCCTATAGAGCCCAGAAACCCATTTCCTTTGTCTTGTTACTTCCCTACAAGTGTATCGTCCTTTGTCAGAATGGTAAAACAAAAACAAAAACAAAAAAACCCTCCAAGCCAAGCTGTTTCTTTGAGGATTTTCTCTTTCTATGAAGGCACTTCCCCTGTGTAGCATAAAACTTCTAAAATCAAATAAAATGTATATGCTTTCCTCCTGCGAATCTGTCTTTTGTCAATTTATTTCACAGACCCATCTGCTGAATCAAAGAAGACAGAGGAAATTTTTTCCTCCCCTATAACCCTTTTAAAGAGTACAGTCTAGTTAGAATGTTCCTCAAATTGAGTTTATCTGATGCTTCCTCATGATTTGACTCAAGTTATGCTTTTTTTTCTTTTTTTTTTCAGAAAAACCACGTAGGTAATACTGTCTCCTTCTTGGTGCATCATATTAGGAGGCACACGATGTCAGTCAGTCCCATTATTAATAATTCTAAATCTAATCACTTGGGTAAGGTGGTGTCTGCCAAGTTTTGCTACTATGAACTTAATATTTTTTCTCTTGTAATTAATAACTAAGTTGTAGAGAGGTACTTTGAAACTATAAATAAATATTTTATTGCTCATCAAATCTTCCCCTCTAGTTTAGCACTGATAATTCTTGTTTGAAACAATTACTACTACATGCAAAATAGTGATTTTCTAATTCCATCATTTCTTCTCCAGTTATTAACTGGTATTCTACTGTAAAAAGGAACTTGCCTTCCTATCTATTTATCTATCTATCCATCCATCCACCTACCTACCTACCTATCTACCTACCTTCAGTATGGACTTATGTACTCTTATGCTATTCAATGTTACAATACATTACTCTCCCTATTTACTAGGATGTGCAGAATGTACCAGTTTTGGCCAGTGGCAGTCTCTTCAAGCTGCTTCCCACGTCCTTTTGACATATCCCCATCATTTTTTATCACTTTGTTGAAAAATATTCTGGCCTAACAGGATGTTCCTGGCTCATCTTGTACTTTCCCTTTCCCAGCCTTAGTATTGGCCACTTCTCCAAAAAGTCCTAGCTCTTTTCAGTAGGGAATGGTATTAAGAAATCAATATCTGAGTAGGAGACCAACACTTAAGTAAAATAATACATTTAAAAAAAAAGTGTATCTAGCAGAATCAAATGCAAATCCTCCCTGAGAGAACACACCTCATTCAGTGCCTCAAAAAAAAAAAAAAAAAAGAGAAAGAAAAAGAAAAAACATCTCACAAATAAAATTCCAAGAGAATTATCATATCATTGTCAAAAACAACTAAATATGCATGGAAAAAAGATACCATATGCAAGAACCACAATAAATAAAAAACAACAGTAATGGACTTACAAGGACCTTTACTCTAGATATGTAAGAGCTTAGGGAGAAAATGATAAAACTTCACTAAAAGGCATCAAAGATGAACTAAACAGATGGAAAGATATACTGTGTTTAAAAATTGGAAGACAATATTACAAAGGTGTTAATTATCCTCAAAATGTTCTGTAATTTCAATGAAATTCCAATGAAAATTCCACTAGGATTTTTCATGAAACTTGAAACACTGAATCTAAAATTTATATGGAAAATCCAAGGGGAAAAATAGCCAAGACACTCCTGAGGAAGAAGATAAAGTAAGTGGTGAGACCTGTCCTAGCAGATATCAAGTACTATTGTAGAGCTTCAGAAATTAAAAAAGTGGGACACTGGTACAGGGATGGATAAACTGAGCCCAGTGGAACAGAGTGGAGAGCCCAGAACAGACCTATGCATTTATAGAAATAGATAAATGAGAGATTTGGCATGGCAGCCCGCTGAATAAATTAGGGTGAGACAATTGGTTAGCATAGAAAAAGTGAATTTCCAATGTATTAAAGATTTAAAGTGAAAGGGAACATTTTACAACTTTAAAAAAATGTATTAGATAATATTCTGACCTCAGAGAGGGAAAGATTTTTTAAAAATAAGAAATAAAAGGGCTAACCATAAAAGAAAAGACTGAAGAGATCAGCAGTATTAAAATAAAAAATTTTTGTTTAAGAAGACAACATAGAGATAGGAAAACACAAGCCATGAACTGGGGAGGCTACTTGCAACACACATAACTGATAAAAGATTATCCTCAATTCAATACTATTACTCAGCCATAAAAAAGAATGAAATAATGCCATTTGCAACAACATGGATGGACCCAGAGATTATCATATTAAGAGAAGTAAGTCAGACAGAGAAAGGTAAATATCATATGATATCATTTGTATGTGGAATCTAGAAAAGCAATACAAATGAAATTATTTATAAAACAGAAACAGACTAATAGACATAGAAATCAAACTTATGGTTACCAAAGGGAAAGAGGGAGAAGATAAATTAGGAGATTGAGATTAACATACACATATTACTAGATAGTAAAATAGATAACCAACAAGGACCTACTTTATGGCACAGGGAACTTATTCAATACCTTGTAATAACCTATAATGGAAAAGAATCTGAAAAAGAATATCTATACCTATATCTATATCTATATCTATATCTATATCTATACACACACACACACATACCTGAATCACTTTACTGTACACCTGAAACTAACACATTGTAAATCAACTATACTTCAATAAAAAAAATTAGTATCCAGAGTATAAGAACTCCTATAAGTCAAAAAAGAAAGGGAGTGAGGGAGAGAAAGGGAGAGACAGTCAGAGACAGGGACAGAGAGACAGAGAGACCAAAAAGGAAATAAGCCAAAGACACATAACAGGTATTTCATGGGAGGAAAAACACAGATGGCAAATAATCCACGAAAAGACATCCAACCTCATTAGTAATTAGGGAAATGCAATTGATTACCACATGCTACCATTCTACCCACTAGACTAGCAAAAATTAAGAAATCCGATAATATAAAGTGCAGAGGTCAATAAGGGGCTATAATACACTACTGGTATATTAATTGTTGCAACCACTTGGAGAACAATTTGACGCTATTTCATTAAATTGAACATTCATACACCCTGTGACACAGCAAATCTACTCTTAAGTAAGTGCTCTAGAGAAAACCTTAAATATAAGTACCAAGGAGATTCAAAATAGCAAAAACAAACAAAACAAAAAACAAAACTAAATAACAATTGTTCATCAACAGAAAATAAAGTGTAGCCATCTAGATCAACATAGATGAATCTTAGAAACACACTGAGTGAAAACAAGCAAGTCACAGAAGACTAAAAACAATGTAATACCATTCTCATAAAAACTAAAAAGAAGGTGGCAAAATAAAATAATATTTTGAAAATACATTAAAAAATGTAAAACTATTATTTTAAAAAAGGGTAAGGGGATGATAACAAGAAAAATAATTCAGGGTAGGAGCCCCTCTGGGAGGAGCTTCAGGTGGGAAAGGGCCACAAGTGGATGTGGCAGTACTGATGGTGTCTGTTGTCACACTGGGCAGTGGGTTCATGGAGTTCACCTTATTATGATTCTTAATCGACGTTGAGTTTCTCTGTCTTGACACTACTGACATTTTGGACTGGATGCATCTTTGTTGTAGGGAGCTGTCCTGTGCATTATAAGATATTTAGTAGCATCCCTGACTCTATCCTAGGTGCCGGGAGCACCCCTCACCCAGCTGTGACAATAAATGTCTCCAGACATTGCAAAGGTCCCTGGGAAACAAAATTGATCCTGGTTGAGACGCACTGATGTATTTCCATGTTTTGAATGTTCCATGATAAAACAAAATTTAAAAGTGATAAGCAGAAGTTTCACTGTCTGTGAAGCACAACTAGGAGGTGATCATTAAGAGGTGAGAAAGCCAGGCCCCATCGAGGGCCTTTGACGTGACACAGCAGAGCAGTGAGAGCTGATGGCTTCATGAGGGTGGCGACTAGCAGGCAGCGTTTCTAGAAATGGTACCCAGTATCAGGAAATCAGTGACTCCAGATACACTGGAGGAAATTTTCTTCAACTCTTCTCAATTCTTTGGGAAATCCAAAAGCTTAGTTTAGCCTTTTAGAGTTTTTTAAAACATAGAGCCTTTTGTTTATATAAGACCTTCTAAGGAACGGAAAGAAGTCCATATATTTTGTTACCTTTGAGGAGGTGGCTGTGACTGCAAGTCACCACACAAATCACTGGGACATTTCCCGGACTCAGATCCAGATAACATAACACTGCTGCTGCAGGATGATGAAGGGCTGGGATTCCACACACACCCCGGCACCCAGTTACCCAAGAGCCTCTCCAAGGATGTGGTTACTTGGTAGCATCCATCTGCTTCTTAAACGTGCACTATAGGCTTACTTAATCTGTCATGGGGAGAATTTATTACCCTTATTTTTAAAATGAAGAAACATAGACACAAAGAGGATACATGGCTTTTTCAAGATGACGATCCAGAGTAACTGATTAGGAGCAGAACTGGCATGAAAATCAAGTCTACAGAATCTTAGTATTTATGTTTTTTTCACCAGACTCTGAACTGTGTTTGAGCATGTGCAGACAAGCTTGTGTGTGTGTATCTGTGGTTTGAGAGTATAAGTATGTTTCTCTGAAAGAAGGGAAAAGACAAAGGATTGAAGAGAAGAGCTAGGAGGAGGGGCATGGTAGAGAGAGCACAGGATCCAGAAGATGTCTCTGTGAGTCTCAACTTCTTTAATTGCAGAAACTCATAGAATGATTGCAAAAAATCAAATGAGACATGCATTTGAAAGTGCTTTGTGTTTCCATATACAAATGTGATTATCATTATTAGAATTATTACTTACAATGTAATACAGATAATAAAGCAAACTTCATGGGTAGGATGACTCACATTTTCCTGGCACTAGCTCTTACCATATGTCCAGTTCAGAGGAATATTCAGTGGCTCCCAGCAAGGCATCAGGAGGGCGGTACCAGAGAGTCACAACTTCTGAAGAGTATGTCTGGCTGGGAATGGACTTGGCCCGAGCAAGACCTGACGGAAGGGGGAAAGCACAGAACTCATTGTCCTGGGACTTCCTGGAGAGCCACAGGGACATAGTCCGCCAAGGATAGTAGAACTGGCAGAGTAAACAACATTTAAAAAATAATACACAAGCTCTGATATTTTTAATGGAAGTACTCAACTATCTTGATTCTTGGGTATTACTTCACCAAGTGAATTTCTCCAATTTTGGCCTACTTTGCAGCTGGATGTGGCCTTCCTCGCAGCTAAGTATAGAAAGGTAACTAAATGTTTGCCTTTATGATATGAACAGAAGCGATGTGTGAACTTCCAGATGGTGCACTAAATGGGGGGCTGAGTGTTGGTCCCTCTTCTCCTTCCTCCAGGCTATGGTGAGGAGGTGTCAGCCATCCTGAAATGTGCAGCTGGGAAACACCTAGGGGTGGCGGAGCCACATGGCAGAGGGACCATGGGCCCGACACCAGGAGGACACCACATAGCCTGACTGCTTAGGTCAGACTGTTAGGTGAGAGAAAGCGCGAGCATATTTACACCTCTGTAATTTGGGGTTTCCAACAGCAGTGAAAAATCAGTTCACGACTAACATGGCCACCCTCCACTTCTGCAGTCCGGGACTCCCTCATTTAGTAGATAAAGGGTGGAGACTGTTAGTCCAGATTAGCTGAGTAGGAACTTAGATGAGTTATTCCCAAGTGTTTTTCAGCAAAATGAGAGTACTCTTGTTAGTTAGCTACTTAGCTCACAGAATCACATGAGAAAACCTCAATAGATGAGTTCACTGCAGTGGGGAACCGATGAATGAATGTCTGTTAAATGCTTTCTGCAGCTACAGTAGCCCCACTGGACATCTGCCAAACAGGAGAGCGGATCCTCAACTCAGATGGAACTAGTTCTTCAACAAAAATTTACAGAGCACCTATTACACTGCCAGGCACTAGGGATATAATGATAAGCAAAAATGGAGCCAGGCTGCCCTCATAATGCTTACAGTCTAGTGGAGGAGACAAAAGCATCAGATAAATACATGTGTGTGTGTTTAGCTATGAACTCTGGTAAGTGCTAAAATGGAAAGATACAGTAATACTCAGGGGAAACTGCATCACTTAGATGGAACAATAGCATCAGGTGCCCACACGGTCCCACCTTTATAGAGATCTGGGTGAGCAGGAACAAGTGTCCTGGAGCCTCCATTCCAGAAGGAGTCCATCCTACAGCCTGGGGTTAACCTGTTTATCCTGCCATCCTGGGATGACTTTGATCAAGTCTCATAGAATTCATATACACCCACCTAGATTCAGGGAAACCTACTAAGTACCTTTCATTCTACAAAACTCTCTACATCAAAAATAGCAGTGAGGGCAGAGGGGTGCCCAAGTTTTAGGATCTGCTTAGACGTAGGCTGGCTGGAAACCTAAACAGCCACCAATCTCACCCTATTTCTTGCCTCACTCTTCCATTTGGTCGTTAGATATCATCACAAAGCATCATGTTTCCCGGTCTCCACTTTTCAAAGGCCAGGCCTAAGTCCATGCTTTAAATATGCGTACACAAAAGCATCACTGTTCACAGCCTGGAACGAGACTGGGGGGCGACTTACCAAAATCAGCCAGCTTGAGCTCTCCCAGGTGACTGACGAGTAAGTTCTGAGGTTTCAGGTCCCTGTGAAGAACGTGTTGGTGGTGGATGTACGCCAGGCCCCGCAAAAGTTGAAACATGAAAAGCTGCAAGGAATGAACTCCTTAACTAGGCAGATTTGAGCCACTATGTGCTGATTTCTCCTCTAAATCAGAAACAGTCATCTGTTTAGTAGTAAAGAAGAATATAGTAAAAGTGTCTCTGGAGAGACGAAAAATGAAAGTTTTACATTCAAAGGAGGGGTGGGAAGGACAAGGAAAGTCAAGTAAGTAGACTATGTCCTAAACAAAGGGATTGTGGCTTTTCCTGACATCTCATTTCTTTGATACTGAAGGAATTACTCTTCCTTAAAAATCTAAACTGAAACTTTGAAGTTTCCTTTGGAACACTAGTTATTGATTAAGATGTGAAAGATTTAATTTTTTCCCCCACCGATGAACTTGGCATACAAGATCAAAGTTGACCTGGAAATGATATTCTAAGGTTTACAACTGCTTAAGTTTTCCAGGCTCTCTGATATAAAACCCTTTTAAAAACAGAACACAGGGAGACCAGACTGGGAAATATATCCTTAGATGGTATTGGGAAATAAAGGAAGCATTATCTTTTTAAACCTATTTTTAAAGTCTTAAGTTCAAAGTGAAAGCAAGGGAAATATATAGTACAGATTAAAAGGGAAAAGATACCAAAATAAATTAAACCAAAAAAATTCAAAAGAGAATAAGGAACACATAGTAAAGAGAATCCCCTACTCTCTTTTTGTACAAAACATGAAGAAAGACACTTGTTTGATTTGAAGAAAAAAAAACAGTAAAGAGAAGAAAAAAGGGGGGAGAAAAACAATATGAAAAATATATTCTAGGCCCAAATTTTAAAATGTTGCACGTGGTTACAAGGCCCAGAAACCAAAGGCATCTTCAGTTCCCATCAATATAGCACCTTAGGATGGGCGGGGGAGAATGCTTAGTATTCCTAGTGTCTTTTCCTGTTTTCCAGTGCCACTGGCAAGCGAGAATGCAAACACCAACAGTAGTATTTACAAAGTCCTATGCCAACTGAGAACATGTTCTGGCAGTTTTGAAAAGAAAGGATCAGCCCCTAGCATTCTTGGGGACATGGGCAAAAGAGCAGATGCAGAGCTGTGTGGATAAAGCCGCTTTTCCCAACACATCTTGCAAACTAAGAACTTCAGAGATGTTAGACTCTTTAATGACCTAACAATGACTTGGCGATTCTGGAGTCAAGCTGACGAGCGCTGCGGACTGACAGAAGCAGGAGCCTGGGGAGTTTACCTCCCACAGCACACCAGGGGCCCAAGCCATTTAAGAATGCCAACATTTTCTTGAGACTCCTACTTCAAATGCTTGCTGGTTCTATGTATCTTCCCGGTGCTTTCTCTTCCTGGTGCTTCAAACACACTCTGTTCATTCTACCGTTCATCACATCACTCAGCGGCCAAAGCACAAAAGTCCTATAGCAACATTTAAACCCCTCAATCGGTTATAAACATAAGTGTTCATAGAAAAGACAATATAAAGGACCAACTTAAATTCCAGGTAAAAGATAAGATGCCATAGTAGGTGCTTAAGAATGTGTTTTCCAATGTGATAGTACTAAGGAAACAGGGAGATGGAGACAGGTGACAGACAGAAGACAGAGAGATGGTGACCAGCAAGGGGCAGAGACAGAGGAAGGGAGGGAAGATAACACTTGTTGAATACACAGCACCTTTTTTATTCTCAAAACAACCCTGTGAGGAAGATATGCTTGTCTTTGGTTCACAGATGAGAAAAACAGGGCTCAGGGAAACGTTAAAAACATGTATAGAATGAGTCAAGTCCAGGTCTCAAATCCAGACCTGCCTGACACCACTACACCATCCTGAGAAACCAGAGAAAAGACAGAAGATTAAAGCCAGACAGGGAAGGCCGGCTGAGTCAGAGGCAGAGCGTCTTGGTGGGCCAGCCTGAAGTCCCTTTCATGTCCCAGGTATAGACTGTCCTCGATAATTAGTCACACCCACCACCCACCTTCTTGTTCTTCAGCCCCTTCCCTCCCTGGCTCCGCATATGTCTACACGCGTTTGTAAACGGTGAAACACTGTGGCCTTAAGGTGTGGTATTCCACAGCCACCCCTGTCAAAGCTGCGATGTGTGCGGAGTAGCCACACCACCCACTTGCTCTTTACCCCTTACAACGTGGATTCCTGCTTCCACACTGCCAAAACGTCAGCAGTAATACGACCCACTCTGGTGATATTTTCTCAGTCACTGTCAAGCCAGGTTGTGGGTAACTCCTGTGATTCCCCATTCCCCAGGGTTTAGTCCTGTTTCCAACGCAATGAGGCTCTTGGGAACAAAATAATTCCACTGGGCTAGTGCCATCTGGGCTAGGAGTCCCTCAAAAACACAGTCACATCAGTCAACCAACTCTTCCAGGGAAGCCCCAGTCCTTCCACTTACCAGGGATCTCTGGGACTTGCTCTATTAGAAATCTGACACAGGCTGATCTCACTATGATTCCCACTCTATCTTCTGCAGTCACAAAAAACAGAGCCTCTGGGACTATTCCTCTTTCCTCCCTAAAGCTCATCTCCATACTGCTCTCATGTAACCCAGTATCCATTGTTCCTCTCTCTCTCAAACCTTTTCACTTTTCACTCTTCAGTCCTGGTTTAAAGACTTCCTAAAACCCAGCTTCTGATGAATTTCCTTCTGTCTCCTTTTCCATAAATGAGACCTTGAGTTCACCTCTTCCCTACAGCATTCTCAACTGGACGTTAGCTTTTCTGCAACTCACTCATACCTTTGATCACTGAGAGGTGGGGCCAACTACCTCCTGACTCCCCACTACCACTTCAAAATCACTGCTTCTCCACCCTAAAGTAAAAATCCTTGTCCTTTGGACTTTAATGCCCTCCAGCTACATCTTCCTCTCCCCGTCTTTTCACTGTCTTCTACTCAACTCCCCACCACTCTCCATCATCCACACAAGACTTGGGCACCTGGATCACAGCTGTTGCTTCCTTGACATCAGCACCTGTGTGGACATCTCCAGCCAACCTCTGCCTCCACTGATGTGCTTCTCCAATCCACTTTAGCCCTCACTCCCACGGTCACACACTGGGTCTTGCCATCATATGGAACTGTCTGTCCTCTGAAATGTGAAATTCATCCCCCTACAAAAAATGGCTTCTGCTGTGATCACTTTATCCATAATGTTTTTACCGTGGTCACCAATGCCTTTGGTGACAAAAACCCAATGAAAACTTTCACTCCTCTTTGCAGCATCTGGCATTACTGATCCTGTCTTCCTTCCTGAAAGCTCCCACCCCCTTGGTGCCTCAATCTCTTAATTTTTCTCCTTTTCTTTTTCTAGGTCCCATTTTCTCTACTGACATTTAATATATTGATATTCCTTAGGACTCCATCCCTGACCTTCTTCTTTCATCACCTTACCCTCTCCCTTAGCCATCTTATCCATTGACATCGCTTTGATAAACAACTGTATTCTGATTATTTCAAAATAGTTAGCTCTACCTCAGACCTCTTTCCTGAACTTTTAGACCCATGTAGCCTGAAGTTTACCTGGACATCCCATAATCACCTCAAACTCAGCAAAACCATTAAACAGCTCCTCATGTGGCACAGCATGACACAGCTGGGCCCTTCACGCTCTGGCTCCTACTCACCTCTCAAGTCTCATTTCTAACCACCCCCAACTCTGTTAATTCTAAACTCCAGCTTTATTGAATTATCTTCAGTTCTTGGAATATACTATACCCTCCCTGGCATCCCAGCATTTTCACTGCGGCCTCTACCATGGGGATCTCATCCCTACTCCTACCTGCTTTGATTGCATAATATCTTCCTTTGTGCTTCCAAATAAATACTCCCAATAAATTCCTCTATTTATTAGTGCATCCCCTACAAATCCACAACGTCCTTGCAGTCAAGTATGATTTTTAACTGTATTCCTGGTCCTCGTGGCACTCTCGATCATGCCCTCCTTGAAAAAGTCTCTTTCCTTGACTTCCAGAAAAATGCATTTTTCTACATTCCTAAAAGCTGCTTCCCTTTGTCCCTTGCTGTTTCATTACTCTTATCCTATTGCCTGTCCCCTAGAGGCAAAAGTTCTATCATCAGTCCTTTTCTTTTTGTGTATTTGCTCTTTCGATTATCCACTCACTTGTATTTAACTACAAACTCCATGTACCAATTACCCTCAGGTCTACATCTCCAGTTTGTATCATTCTCCTGAGAACCAGTCTCGTCTTCAGTTGCCTGCTGCTCATCTCCTTTGGTCACCCCATCTCAGTGAGGAGCTCATCATGTTCTAAAACAGGACTCTGATCCCTCCTCTCTAAGTCAGCTTTTTTTATTTCAGTTCATAGAGCTAGAATTCTCCTGCTCAGTCACACTCAAAATCAGTCATGTTCGGCCTCCTCCTTTCCCTCCTCATGCCCACTTAGTCACCATGTCCTGGCTGGACTCTTCTTTGTTTCTGTTTTTCACATTCCTTTCCATTCGTACCTTTGCTATCATAATTTAGGCCTTTACAAACTGTATGATTCCAACCGAATGAAATTCTGGAAAAGGCACAGCTACAGAAATAATAAAAAGATTGCAGTTTTCAAGGGTTTGGGGAAAGGGAGGGAGGGAGGAATGAACAGATAGAGTACAAGGGATTTTCAGGGCAATGAAATTATTCTGTATGATAATACAGTAGTGGTTACATGTCATTATGCATTTGTCAAAACCCATAGAATGTACAACATCAAGAGTAAACCCTAATGTAAACTATGGACTTTGGTTGATAATAATGTGTCCATGTTGGTTCATCAATTGTACCAAACATGCCATGCTGATGAGGGATGTTGAGGGTAGGGGAGTATTTATGTGTGGGTGGGGAGGGATATGTGTGAACTCTCTGTAGTTTCTGCTCAATTCTGCTGTGAACCTGAAACTGCTCTAAAAAAAAATAAAGTCTATTAATAAAAAATAATAATTTAGGCTTTTATCACTTCTAATCTAGAAATCTCGCTACTCAAAGTTTGGTCCTTGACCAAGCAGTGTCTGTATCACCTTGGC